CTTAAAATTGTGGATTCCATCTCTAAGCCATTGAGAATCTATGGTGATAATTCCGTTGCAGTTCGTTTCTGTAACAACAATGCAAGTTGGAGTTCAAACAGATGGATTGACATAAAGTTCCTTGTTGTTAAAGAAAAAGTTCAGAATCATCAAGTGTTAGTAGATTACATAGGAACAAGGTCAATGGTTGCAGATCCTATGACAAAAGGTTTGCCACCCAAATTGTATAAGGAACATGTAGGACATATGGGGCTTATTGATATGTCTTGTGTTTGATTTACTCAGACACTTTAAAATTTGCAATTGCATTTATGTTCTGATGATTCTTAGTATTTATTTGTCATTTTTAAGGAAGTATACATAAAGTTTATAAATGACATATTATCCTTTTGGATAATAAAGTTGGACCTCATAATAGGCTTATGGGAGCTTATTCATACAGATAGTCCATTGGGACAATAAAGTTGACTTCCTTGAATAGTTTTTTGAAATAACTATTTATAAAGTACTACCACATAAAGATATTTATCTAAAGAAAGACAGTGATATAATGATACATGGAAGGTAACACTCATATGTAGAGTGTGATTTCCACCATGATTTTATACACTTAAATTCTTTAGATAAAGTTTTAGTTCTCAAACTTATAAGGATAATAAGTGTGTCAATATTGGCCAAGTAGGAGAATGTTAGACACGTGTATTTATAACACGTGTGTGGCCTATATTGCCACAATACATTTATATTCTAATCCATTGAGCAGTGTGGTTGTGGGAAGTTGGTGGTGGTTATCATCTGATTAGTTTAAAACAACGGTTTGCATGATAGATTGCTTTCTCTCGTTTCATTCATACAATATCCTTACAGAGGCCCCATGTCTAACAAAAGCAGTCTGTGTTGTCTCCATTAAGTACACGCATAAAGATTTGTATAGGCGTAAACATCATTAGGATTTCTAAATTTGTTTTGCAGGGGGAGGTAATACGATCTCTTTGGACTTGATAGTTTCTTTCATCTTTTCTTTTCTTTTCATTTCTTTTCTTTTCTCTACTAATCATTTCTTTTCTTTTCTTTTCTTTTCTCTCCCGTGTATAAGTTCTCTCTCTTTCTTATATCCAAATTCTAATACTTCTATATTCACCAGTTATCGTATGGAAACATAACAAGCTGGCCACCAGCGACCCAGTACCACCAGATGGCCACCGCCACCACTCCTTCCTCTGCCGCCTTATTGCTGGCAACGCAACTGCATAAACCCCCAATATTAATTGTGTACGGTGTTTTTGCTTTTGATTTATTCTTCAAAAGTGTGACAGATCTGAAAATTAGAAGAGAAAATAGGGGAGAGGAGAGAGACATAATTTTAGCAGTGGACTATTTTGAAGCTTCGCCGTTGTTGGTTTAGAAAGACACAGAATTGGGAGGAAATCAGCCGGTTAATGGGTAAGGAGTATAATTTTTTTCGAAAAAATTTTATTTGGTATTTCCTCAACCTTGGTTTTTGGCGTGGCTAACAGTGTTGATTGAGATTGATACTTCAAGTTGCAAACAGTGATGATGGAAATGGGTTTGAATGGGGTATAAAGGAGATGGTTCGAATGAAAATGGTTACAAAGGAGATGGATAATATTGTCAAATAAAAAATTACTAAATAGTTAAATGACTTTTAGAAAGTAGACTCACCAAACATCTTTTTGTGCTAAATTCATTTTGACAAAATTCTTTGTAGGAAGGAATTATTAATGAAAGGACATTTGGTGTTAAAAAGCTCCCCAAACACCAAGCTTGTTTGATAACACAACTGAGGTATAATTGCGCTACTTAAAATGGGATAAATTTTAAGTGACAATGTTGAACGCTAAAAATTAAAAAATATATATTTATTTTTTAATTACTAGTTTCAAACTTCAACACTTAAAACTTTTGGTACTTAATTTTCAGTTTTATCAAACATCACCCAATAATTAATTAGCTTTCTCAAAATATCCTCTATAGATATATTCTCAAGCTCAAAATGAGCCGATCGACAAGTTTGTTCTAGAACTTTTTGTTTTAAACAAACGAGTCGATCTGGGAGTTTTTTGAGCTTGGTGTGTTTAGTAATTAAACATGAATTATTATTATTATTATTAATTTTTTTTTTAGCTTGATTCATCTATTAAACACATGAACACGAATCGAGTTCATAGCAAGTTGAGTCCGGGTTGTTCATCGAATGCTTGATTCATTTATAACCCTATTGATAATCGATATAAAACGTTTAAGTCAAATATATGGAATTATTGACAAGGTGAATCTCCTGAAGATAAAACAACCTTAAAACTTGAGTTTGAGAAAAGAATAATAATTTGTAGACTGAATTTGACAATTATCCATCATTTAAATAGAATTCGGTAACAACCAATTCCGCCTTACTCTTGGAAAAATCAGTACTCTAAATGGGAGTTTAGAGCTACGAAAGTCGTCTTCCACATTTTTAGAGCTCCTTTCCTAAATGGGATTAGATTTATGGAAAAGAAAGTACATCACAAGAAGGCACTTTGAGACCCTACCTTAGCTCAACTTTTGGATAAGGTTGAAGATTCTCTAAACCCTAATTTGATGGCATGTGATCCTTATTTGTTGTACATATGATATGGATGTGTTACCTACAAGTACCAGTACTTTATTTTCAAATTTCTGACTTAATTAATTATTATTGAGCCATTAACTTGTAATATACTGGTGCTTAGCTTCGTGTTTTCTAGAGCTACACCTTAATTAAGAGTTACAATTTTAATCTACAGATATTTGACTTTCCATAAAACTCTTTAAATCAAATTGAATTTAAAAATGAAAAAAGAGCAGCAAAAAGGGTCCTTAACCTCTCAACTTGTGATTTCATTTATCATTTTCCCTCCCAAAGTGAAAAGAAAAATAAGGATCAAGGATATCATATCTTTTATGTAATACTAACTGGATTCTTTTTCTCGCGGTTATCTTTCTTAATAAAAAAAATGATACTTCGTCGGATTTCGATTCCTTATCATAGCTCTTTTCAATCGGACCACATTAATTTTCCCACAACGAAATGATTAAGAATTAATATTAATAATTTTTTTCTTTCTTTTGTTGGGTAATGCTATCTGCCCAAACTAACACCTAACTACAAGAATTGACAAAAAAAAAGAAAAAAGACCAAAAAAAAAAAAAAAAAGAAGGTTAAAATTTGTAGAGAATTTCATAGAGATTAGTGAACTTGTTTAGTTATAAGAGTTATAATCTAGCAATATCTCTTGGAAATTTTAATTTTTGCAAGATAAAATGGGATTTGCCTTTGACAAAAAAATAAAAATAAGAAATAAAAAGGTAAATTATACTGATCCCCCCTCAAATTTGGACAAATTACAGACTGGTAGAGCGTTTTACCTTTATTATTTTGACCTTTTCTGATATTTGGCACGTGCGCCCAACACCACTCATTCTGTTAATGAAAATTTAAAAATGACTAAATTGTCATTTCCTTATGTTAAAATACTTTAATAATATTCTATTGATATAAAATGACAAAAATACCATAAAATGCCATTGAAATGCAAAGCGTTAATTTTCATATTAATTTTATATCATTAAATTTTACAAAAATAACTTTTTCTTTTTTATTAGTGACATTTGATTATGTTTCTTTTTTATTCTCCAAAAAAAATATGTAAAAAAATGGGTAATAGAGTCTTTTGATTTGATATATTTTATATTATATTAAATTAAATAATGGTATAAAATATATAAATGTAGAGAAATTTGTAGGGGTAACAAAATTTGATACGACCCACCAACACAACTCGAATACGACATTAGTTAAACAGATTCGGGTCGTAAACGAATTAACACAATCAATCTATTTAGTTAATCGTGTCGTGTTTGAGTTGAACACAATCAATCCATTTAGTTAATCGTGTCGTGTTTGAGTTGAGGTAGTTTAACTCATATAATTCGTTTAATTATACATGTCATAAATAAATTTATATTTAGATTTCAAAATAATTATCTAAAACTCGTGTCTTATAATTTACTTTTTGTAATTTGGGTTAATTGAAACTTATATTTTTTAAAATTTATTGTTTAACTAAGTATTATTAATAATTTAAATAATATAATTTTTTATTTTAATAAATAGGTTATTAAATGAGTTAAATGTGTCATTCTTTTAATAAAAAATCAGTTTAGCATTTAGACTTCCTGATATAATTATTAAATAAAGAATAATGATAGAGAGACCGAAGAATTAACTTCGAACAAATATGAAATCTGACGTGTTGTTGTCCATCTTATTTACTTAAATAAATTTTAAAAAATAATTATTTAACAGATAAGAATGACCGATCAGGTTTACTATTTTCCTATCATTTCTCTTAAATAGTATTTAGATTGAGTTCTTTAGTCGAAAACCTTTTGATAGACGCGACACAGACCCGCAAAGCGAATCCTACAAATTTGACAACTTGAAAGATTCCCATTCTGTTTCTTAGCGGTTGTTGAGACCGCCACATTTCAACAATCTCTCACTCACATATTATCATCTATGTAAAGCTACATACACCAACTCACTCTCTCTCTTACTTTCTCTCTCTAGTTTCTATATGGCTGCCAGCATCCCTCTCCTTCAAGTCCCAACCCAATCCTTCCACACTACCAGACTTCACACCACCAAATTCATACTCGCATCACCACCATCCACGGCCAAATTGAACGGTCTCTTCACCGTTCGATCAAATTCACACCTCAAGCTTTTCATTTACTCAATTACTGTTGTGGAATTGACTCTGGGTTTTGGTTTGTTTTCGTTTCAGGAACATCTCGGTGCTCCGTCATAAGCTGCTGCTCTTCGAATGGGCGAGTCCCTGATTCGATTGACGACGGCGTCAAGAGCGTTGAGCGGCGTCTTGAGGAGAAACGGCGAGCTGAGTTGTCCAATCGAATCTCTTCTGGAGAGTTCACGGTGGAGCAATCTGGGTATTTTGTTAGATGAAGAACATTGCAACACCATGATGAACAATACCCATTTGTTTATGTTTTTGTTTTTCACTTTTTATACACAAAGAATTACTTTTATAGTGTGCTTGAATTTGTATGAAAACGAGACCCTTTATTTATCTTTAATTAATTTATTAAAAAAAAAAAAGGCATCTATGTTCGCTAAATTAAGAACATAAATCTTATTTACACACGCATATAAATAAAAAAGGCATTACCCGGTTCTAGTCCTCTACATTAGGCTTCTCTGGGATGCTGGACTCGAGATATACTTTGATATGTCACAAAGTGGCTGCTTTGAGGTTCGAAATCGCACCAATGACACACACATAAATAAAAGGACATTACCCAGTTTTAAACCCCTACACTAGGTTTCTGGGAGGCTGGACTCAAGATAGAAAGACCTAATTAACCTTTGAGGCTGTGATATATCACAAAGTAGCTGCTTTGAGGTTTGAAATCGCACCAATGACACTGGTGTTCAAGTGTTAAACCACTGAACAGGCAATGCAATCATCTCTGTGTGTGTATGTATTGGCATGAATAAGTGGGGTATGATCTTTTACTTGATTTGTTAAAGTGTCATGTGGGTTTGCTTAAAATTAGCTGTTTCTCGTGCATATACAGTCAAAAGTACATATTATGTGTTAACCAATTTATTTGTTTTTCTTTTGGTTCTAATTTCTTACGAGTTTATATTTGCTTGTTTTTGTGTTTTGGTGGATAAGAATTCCTTCTCAATTACGGAATGGCTTGTCAAAATTGGGTGTTCCTGATGGGGTTCTTGAATTTTTATTCAAATGGATGGATGGCGAAGAGAATCCAAAGATTTCTGTGGCAAAAGGGGCAATTAGTGCCATTCGGAGTGAGGCATTTTTCATCCCCCTGTATGAGCTTTACCTTACTTACGGTGGAATTTTCAGATTAAACTTTGGTCCAAAGGTTTGATTCTTCTAATTTTTATGTGTTTTTCCTTTTATTAAACTGAGGGTGAGAAAATATATTACAAATATTAAGGGCAAGGTCCATATGATATGTTTGGTTGATGTTTTTGAACTTTTGTCACAGTCCTTTTTGATAGTTTCTGATCCTTCCATTGCTAAACATATATTGAAAGACAACTCAAAGGCGTATTCAAAGGTAAATCATTTGCTTATACTCTCTCTCTCTCATCTTTTTTTCCTTTCTTTTAAGTAATTAATGCACAAGCATCCACTTATAATTTCAAAAACTTCCCCCCTTAGAATTTTGTAACTCCTTGGTATGCAGGGTATCTTGGCAGAGATTTTAGAATTTGTAATGGGAAAGGGACTTATTCCAGCTGATGGGGAGATATGGCGTGTTAGAAGACGTGCTATAGTGCCGGCATTGCATCAGAAGGTATCATTAATGGCTTTATAGGTTCAGTGTGGTTTTCTTTCCAATTTACCATCTTTACTGTAGGTTGGTCTCCCAATGTAATCTTGCCAATGAAAAATTTGAAATGGTTTCATTTACTAAGCCTCAAATGTTTTCTCCTATCTTCTACGCTAAGTTAAGATTGCTACATTTTATACTGTTGTTATCTTTTTACTACTTCTAATGCAGTTTGTGGCAGCAATGATTAGCTTATTTGGTCAAGCTACAGATAGGCTTTGCAAGAAGCTTGATGCCGCTGCATCTGATGGGGAAGATGTGGAGATGGAGTCACTTTTTTCCCGCTTGACATTAGATATCATTGGGAAAGCGCTATTTAATTATGATTTTGATTCTTTAAAAAATGATACTGGGATAGTTGAGGTACTTTTTTTTTTTCCCCCTTTCATTCTTCCCTTCTTTTTTTCTTGTATAAAAAATAAAAATAAAAACCTTTTCTTTAGTTCATTGAATTATTCTTGTTTAACAATCCATTTTTCATCTATGTTCTTTTGAAGTTGCTTACTAACTGATGACTCATAAATCCGTATGTTCATATTTTGTCTAGAGCAGGCTGTATACACTGTATTGAGAGAAGCAGAAGACCGAAGTGTGCAACCAATTCCATTCTGGGATATTCCCATCTGGAAGGATATTTCACCAAAGCAGAGAAAGGTCACTGCTGCCCTCAAGCTGATAAATGAAACACTTGACAATCTGATTGCAATATGTAAGGTAAAGTTCTCTATATGGGTTGTGGGAGCATCACAGACTTGTGTCATTCGATTTTTCTCTCAATAACTATAATTTACCTATGTGCACTTCTGGATATCTTTTTGAGTGAACTTATGGCTGTTAGAGCTGGGATACATTGCTCTTTTGAAATTGGTTGCCGAATTGCATTTTCATCTTATTGCGCTCAGATGTTTTTAGAGCTTGAGTTATTAAATATGATATTATATCATTTGAGAAAACAGTCATTTATAAAATTTAGGAGTACATTGAACATATTATATCATGATGTGCCATAATCTGTTATCTCACATTCTTGTTTAATAACCATGAATCCCTACTACTCTTGCATGTTTGTCTCATTTATGCATTCATTAGTTTGGGACACTTTAAATGATTTATGGCTGCTATTTTTGGTTCTGATCTCATTTTGGCCCCCAATGCATTTGCAGAGGATGGTGGATGAAGAAGAATTACAGTTTCACGAGGAATACATGAATGAACAAGATCCTAGTATTCTCCACTTTCTACTGGCATCGGGAGATGATGTATGTCAATATTTACAAAAAATTGTATTTCTCAGTTGCCACACTAAATTTAAGATTTTCTGGCACCTATTTGTAGGTTTCTAGCAAGCAACTCCGTGATGATTTGATGACAATGCTTATAGCTGGACATGAAACGTCTGCTGCAGTACTTACGTGGACCTTTTATCTTCTTTCTAAGGTATATGATGCCTGCTGAGTAAAGGTTTAGTCCTTATTATTATTATTATTGGGGGGTGGGGGTAGGTAAGTAGAGAATTTTTATTACCAAAAAGAGATGTTACAATGAAGATCAACATATACTCGAAGGCAACATAAGAAAGCAATTACCTCAGAACCAGAGAAGATAGTTCACCCATCCAAAAGAAGTGGAAAAATACAATGAACACACGAGACCTCAACCAAAGGTTGGAACACACAATCAAACACACAAGATCTAGCCAGAATGCTAGGGAAAATTCACTAAAGCACGCCCGACCAGCAAAGACCTGCTTAAAGAGAAGCTATGTTTGGAAACTGAAATTACAAAGAATACTACCAACATACCACATGAAGTGAACCAGAGCACCACATGTAATCAGCCGGTCTCAACAACTGCCCAGATCAAATGGAAATATATGAAGTTTTGAAGTTTTAAAGCCCAAATTTTTTTAAAACATAAAAAATCATCCAAAAGTTTCCAAATTAATTTCTTATCATTGTAAAGGATTCCCAAAACCCTTGAAAAATGTCTTAGACTATAAAGCATGGGCACACATACATTATACGGTCATGACACAAATGGAAAAAACAAATATTTAAAAGACTGGATACAGATACAGATACAGTAAGGACACAATAATATTATTTTATTAGTAATTTCTCTTTTGTGTGTGCATCTGTTTGTAAACCATCAGTCTCTTGGTTTTTTGGTAGTTATTCTATTGTTGTAAATTAGGTTTACATTTTCGTGCTGATATTACTTCTGCTGTGGACTGAGTGTTAATTTTTGCAATTTATCACCAAAATTCATGTTCATTGACTGCAGGAACCTAGTGTCTTGTCTAAACTTCAAAATGAGGTGAGTTCTTGAACATCTATTAGTAGTGTCAACTACTATATTTAATTTTGTATTGATGTATATGCCCTTTTCCTTATAAACTACGTTGTTGATTTTAGGTTGATTCTATTCTTGGAGACCGTTTTCCAACTATTGAAGACATGAAGAAACTTAAATACACAACCCGAGTAATCAATGAAGTAAGAAGATGCATGTTGTTGTCTCCTATGTTACCTTGAAGTAGTTCCTCTATTTTTGCTTTTCCTATGGTGGCATCTTTTTATCTAGCTTCTTTTTCGTCTCTTTGCAGTCGTTGAGGCTCTACCCGCAACCACCTGTCTTGATTCGTCGTTCTCTTGAAGATGATGTACTTGGAAAGTACCCAATAAAAAGGTCATATCCTAATATTGTGAATATTATTCTTGGAAGCTAGCTAATGTCAGAATTTATGTGATATCACTGTTCTGTTTTTATCTTGTATGCATGCTCACGCTCAAACACGCATGCCTTAGTGATTTGAGGCAATGTTGATTTTTGGCAAAATGTGGGTTACTATTATAAGGTTCTAGATTGAAGCAAACAGAGATAAACAAAAGTCTCCTTACAGAAGTAAGAAAGACTAGAATTCCTCCAATCACGAGCTTAGATTTCTCAGGGAAATATGGGTCAAGCCTTGAGAGAAGTTAATAATCTGAAAACATCTCAAAATTATATTGATTAAGACTTGTTCCAGCAGAGAGAGGGTTGCCCCTTTATATAATATAACTTCTAACGACTCTTGATTTCTCCTCGAATAACTTTTAGAATCCCCACACAGCATTATACGTTTTACCGCTTCCTAAGCTAACACTTCGTAATTCCAAACCTTAATTTATACGTTTTTGTGCAAACAAGGGTGAACTTTGACTTCATTAAACAACAGACACTTTTCAAAGCACCATTCTTTATTTGCATCCTAGATGCCAAGGTAGTCTTTCAGTTGTCTTGAAGGATTTTTGGCATCCTTAAGGGCGTTTGCAGATGGCTATTTTTGTTGGAAAGCAGCTCAAGAGAAGATTTTTTTACTACTGATATTTTGGTGTGTGGACTGTGGAGGAAAAGTTCTCTTGTCGTATGTGTTAAGAGAGAAGAGGATAAAGATCATATGTTAAATTGCTAATCCATCATTCCACATATGGACCTCCTTATTTTGTTGGGATTTCATTAATTTTATTGTCTATATCAGTGTGGAGGTCTAGTGTAGTTGGACGGAGGGTTGTGAAAACAAAAGACTCAGAATGGTATGGCAGTTGGGATGTTTGTGCCCATGGCACTGTGGCTGGAAGAAGTGTAAAAGTTCTCATCTGATGGTGTGGTGGTTGGGATGTTTGCATCTGTTCACCAAAACTGGTCCCCATAGGTGATTTTCTGGTTGGAAATCATTTAAGTTACTGGTAACTGATATCCTCTATTGCTCTCCATTTCTGTTGTTTAGAGTAGCCGTGGCATAAATTACTTGTGGTTGTTACAGCTTCTGTTTTAATTATCACACACATATATATATATATACTTTTTTATTTATATATAATGTTGAAGGTATCTTATGTTTCTTTGACAGGGGTGAAGATATCTTTATATCCATTTGGAATTTGCATCGCAGTCCAAGTCTTTGGGACAACTCAGATAAGTTCATTCCTGACAGATGGCCTTTAGATGGACCAAATCCAAATGAGACAAACCAAAATTTCAGGTATAAAATCTGTACTTTTTCTAGTTGCAGTGTTTGAACTCATTCTACATATACCATGTCATGGTTATCATACCTTCGTTGTCATCTTCAGTTGGCTAATTACCTGAATTTTTTAAATCCTCATTTCTTTTGGATTAATTGCAAAATTTTAGTAACAGAAGTAGTATGGTTAATGAATAGAGGACTTGCTGAATTAGCCCATCCATATATTATTTATAAGTAGAAAAAAAATTCTCTATAATTTGAAATAGTTCTTGCAGAACAAGTGAATGGAGGTGTTCATGAGCATGAGTTTTTAATCATACTAAACACTCTCCTATGAAACATTAGAGTCAAGTTTTTTTTTTTTTTTTTTATAAGTAAGAATTGTATAAAAAGCGCTCAAAAGGGGAGCGCATCCCAAGAGAACAAACACAAGGCCAAAAACAGCCTCTACGCCTTCAAAGAGGCCAAAAAATCAACTATTTCCTCTAAAGATCTATAATCTCTACCTGAGACCCAACAAAAAAGAGTGGAAACAATAGATAACTTAAGAAAAGAAATAGGCCTCTCCTTCCCATCAAAATATATCCTATTCCTCTCTAGCCAAATACACCACCACACACAAAGAAGCGCAGCCCTCCAAGCATCACGAATAGGGGCCCCCACAAAACACCCTCTCTAAGCCTCAACCAGCTCTCTGGAGGATTGTGGCATGACCCACAGGAACCCAAACAAACCAAGCATCAAATCCCAACATTCCTTGGCCATGGTACAATGCAAAAGAAGATGTTCCACTGTCTCCTCGTCTCGAAGACACATGTAGCACCGATTGACCACCACCTGATTTCTCTTTCTCGAATTAGCCTGGGTTAAAATCTTAACCAACACAGAAGTCCAAGCAAAGAAGGCCACCTTGATAGGAGCCTTAGAGCGCCAAACAGACTTTCACGGGAAGGGCCTTCCAAGCTCCACTGAAAGACACCTAAAGAAGGACCGCATATCAAAACGACCCTGCGCATTGGGAGCCCAAATCCAACAATCAGAATCACCAGCCATGACTCCCTGACGATACAACATCTCCAACAGACGAATGGCACCCTCAACCTCCCAATCCTAAAAAAGACGCTTGAATCTAACATCCCAAACCAGTCTCCCGCTATCAAGATGATAACAATCGACCACCATGGCCTGCCTATTCGAAGCAATCCTGAAGAGCCGTGGAAAAGCAAGAGCAAGAGAAATATCCCCACACCATACATCCTCCCAAAAACTGATCCCCCTGCCATCCCTGAGTCTAAAACGAACATGAATGGAGAAATCAGTCCAACCCTTCCGAATGCACTTCCAGACCCCCATAGCTGGACATAAAAAAAGAAGAAAGAAAGACATTTGTCAGGCTGCTTTAGTCTATATGTGTTGAGCTGAAGTGGAAGCCTCAAGGAACGTGTAAGACCTTTTTTGAAGTTCTTTAAGCTCAAAAATGGTTAAAATTGAAAATAAATATAAAATATTGAGATTTGTAATGACAATTTTAATCTAAACACGAATTCCATAAATTGTGTGCAGTGGGTGGGCAAATTCATTTTATGCCTATTGTACATCATGTTGGTTAGGAATATCATAATTTTAAAATGTTGGTGGTTTTTTTAGTGGTGGGTTAGATTTATTTATTTATTTTGGGGGAATGGGGGTGATGAAGATACTTAAAGTTCACAGCGTAAAATTGCACACTTGCTTACAACGACAACCAAAGCTGCTTCTTTTTTTTTTTTTTTGAAATATTTGGGGTCGGCTATATGAATCCTATGTTTCCATTCCGCTCTATCTACCCATGATAACTTTGGTCTTCCTTTTCCCCTAAATTACGCTCAATGTGGACTATTTCTCTTGCCTAACCGACACACTAAGTTTTCTTTGCATGTGTCCAAACTATCTTAACCGATTTTCTTTCATTTTATCTTCAATTGGTGCTACTCCAACCATCTCACGAATGTGATCATTTCTTATTCTATCCTTTCTAGTCTTACTGCACATCCATCACAATATTTGCATTTCTGCCACACCCATCTTAACTTGATTCTATGATTCACATCAACTCCAATTTCTCCTCATTATGAAATGTGCAAAGGCTAACCATAGAAAATGCCCACCACCGTGGCCATCATCTAAATCAGAATGCTTTAATCATTTTTGACATTTGAACATTGGAAATTGTGATCATAGACTTGAAAATCTTACATCCTCTGATGAAGAACTTTTAGAAATTTAGCATTATAACCAGGAGAAAGGTTAAGGTCCAGTATGAATCGTTCAAAAGTTCAGCACATAATCAGGATAGGGGTCAAGATTCGGAATTGAATGGTTTTGAATAACTAGGAATTGGTTTCAAATTGTATTAAGACACTTGACTTTAGAAACCTCCTAAGTGGCTCTATTCTTACTATTATATAATGTTAAGAAGTTACTAAAAATATGAAATATCGGAATATGCTGTTTCAGTTACTTGCCCTTTGGTGGAGGACCGCGAAAATGCATTGGGGACATGTTCGCTTCATTTGAGGTAATTTGTTAATACTTGTCTAAATACTCACCTAAAAAATACTGCTGAGTAACTAATGGGTAATTTTCTGTCATGAAGTGGATGATTTTATATTTTCCTGGTTCAGATTCCGATGAAAAAATTCTTCGACAATCAAAAGAGACAAATTGTCTTGTAAAATTTTGAACTTCCATCTCACTTATTTGCAGACTGTAGTAGCAGTTGCGATGCTTGTTAGACGGTTCGATTTTCAGGTGGCACTTGGAGCACCTCCAGTAAGTCGTTATGTTTCTCCTTTCCTTTCCTTAAAATGTTCTTTAGATAATCAAAAATCTATATTTTGAAGACATGGTAATTTGATGTGTGGCTAGAGAGTTGGCTCGGAAGAGTTAGAATATATAACTTAACCCAACTCGTATCAATTTGGCATTGTACTTTTATGTTACCAAAATTCTTCTATTAATTAGAACACAATAAAGTTAGTGGAGGCCATACATCATCAAATATGGGCATCTATTATGAAATAAGCAATTGGCCTTGGTTCAGCATCAACTAGCTCCTAACCCTATTTGTTACATTGACTCGTCAATTAGTTGGTCAAAATTCAGTGAGCAATGTATACGTTTATGGCTGTTCTCTGTTTTCTTTTGAATTAAGCGATTAATTATCAAAAAAAGAAAAAAAATGTAGACGTTGCAGGTACTAATTTGGATTCAAGATCTAAATAGATATTTGAATACAAAATCTAATTAAAAGAACCAACTTGCATACAGGTTGAGATGACTACAGGAGCAACAATTCATACAACAAAAGGATTGACGATGACATTTACACGACGGATGAAACCTCCCATAATTCCCACAACGGCGGCACCAACATTTAAAGTGGATTCATCTGTGAGCATTTCTGAAGTGGACCCAGTACTAGGTTAGAAAGGTGAAGCCTTTCCAGGACCTTCCTAATTACCAAGGCCTATCACATTCGAGCCACACAGTCCGAAAAAGATCGTAGAGAAGAAATAGTGATTGAGCTCTTCAGAATTCCCATAATTTAGTACACATTATTGGCTGTTTAAAGCAGCCAATTTTGTAATTATGCAGGAACTGTCTCAAGTGTAAAGAGAGATGATATATTCTACCGGAGAACGGAAATTCCAATTTTTTGCTCAAAATTGATGATGTTTTACCTGCTCTGTAATTCTTAATCATTTTGCTTGATTTCAGTTTCGGTACACATCACAAAGTAACAAATGCAGTTTCTGAATGTTGAACTACTTAGTTTATAATTGTTGCTGAGAATTGTTGTAAAGATCCCAAATTTTCTTTTCATTGATCCATAGTGAAACCCTATTTGGGGAGCAGTATTTCACAAGCGCGAGCCCCACACACAGTGAGAAACACACACAGAGGGTCAACAATTACAACAACATTAGCAACAGTATAAAACCAAAGAATTACTCAAATACAAGTTGTACAACAAAGCAATTTTCTATATAATACAACCATGACTGAGATATGTGATTCAGTTCTTGTGTCATCAGAGAGTTAATAGGCAAACTTACAACATTCCAGTATTTGTGATGATCACACTCGATTACTTACACGATAAACTGACGGAACAATGACCTTGAAAATTAAGAGTAGCCAAAACACCGTCTCAAGGAAAAACGATTGGATCGAGGCAATTTATCAGGCTCAGGCTCAAGCTTACTGCGAGGAAAATGTTTGTGAAAGGCTTTAACTGCTCCAGTCACCCCATCCTCATTTGCCATGGCATTGGCCAGTTCCACAGCGCGTTCTTTCACCTGCACTCGGAGCATAAGGAAATATAATTTTTATTCCATCTACAGTACGAGACAAAAATCACCGCACTGCCCAGAAAAGTATGAAACTTCTAAAAAATGAGTTTAAGTTCCTACTATAATGACCAACGGGCCAGTGGCGTAGCCGTATCAGGCCCTTTCTTCCCAAAGGGAGGTTAGGGGTTCAAGCCTCAGTGGAGACATGTGTGTGTGAGTACCAACTAAGAAAAAAAAAAAAAAAAAACAAAGTGCTTCTATTATAATGGAAAAGCTAAACAAATAATATATTGATATATATCTCATATATTCCCCATGGTTGTATGTTGAATACTCTTTCCTCCCCCAACTCATTTTGTTTCATTGCAAACAAATTACTCAAAACAGTCAAACAATTTCAAAGGTTACAGTGATTTTCCTCCTTCGTTACTTGTGTTTTGCAATAAGTTGGGGAAAATGCTGAACATTTTATTAGCTATTTTTCAATCAGTCATATATATTTCAGAAAATATTCTGGGAGAGGGTAAGACCATCAGATCTGCCAACCAAAACTCAGGCTGATTAAAAATAATAAATGTGTTGTTATTTTACAGCTTTTATACTTCAAGCCAGTCAACTATAGTATCCTTCATGGTTTTAGCATTTGTAGATACTCGAACAATTTCAGTATCCAATACAATACATAAGCTGTCTTATATGGCAACCAAAATTTAATAATAACAACAGCAGAAGTAGATTATTATTACTAACAAGTAACAGCAAAACATTCTTTTATAATTATTATCTACAGCAATACCTGCCATGCCTTAGTGCCGTCTACAAGCATAAATATCAAGGTGTCCATTAAGGCCACCAAAAAAGAGTAACTATATAGATGAAAAGCCAATATATTTTGTATTTATGGAAGATTAATTGAATAACAGTTCAAAAATACAAGGGAAGAAAGACATAGAAGGAAGGGGGGAAAAACCAAATAACACAAACATACACAAATAAATTAATAACTTAAGGAATGAGTACACAGGGAAAAACAAAAGGACTCCTGAACCCTAGGACGACAAGAATACACGGCATGCTATAGAACCCTATCAAGGATAGTGAGAAAGAAAATTTTGAACCCGATGGCTACACACTTGGCTTAAAATCCAGCCTCCAAATTGGTGAGAATGATGCTTCCAAGAATTCAACCCCAATTGGGAAGACAAAGAGCCAATTATCCTCAAGTAGCAGCAAAGAGTCTACATACACAAGAACTAATAGTGGGAATAACCTCCAACCAAAAGCTCATTTAAACCATGCTCCATGGCAAGCCTTGAGGCCCCGTTTGTTTTGACGGAAATGAAAGGCAAGAAAGGGAATAATTTGGAGGGAAACCTTATCTTGTGTTTGTTTTGGAAAAGTGGAGAGCAATGGAAGGATTTGGAGGGAGGGGCTCACTAACCCCTTGCACAATGATTTTCTTATTCTTTCAAAAGTGGACAGAATGAGGGGAAAAAATCCCCCCACCCTTCCTTCTTTATAACAAGTGACTTTCAGTTTTGCCCTTATTACTCAAAAAAATAAAACAATGCTTTCTTTTCTATCCATTACCATTTACAAACACAATATAAGGTTGATATATTTTTTCCTTTATTTTCCTCGGTTAATCAACTAAACAGACAGATAGGTTAACAAGACCTTTTCTTTTCTTTTTCTCTCTCGCCTAAATAATGTTCTCCTTTCTTTTCTTTTCCCTCCTATTATACCAAATACAACCTAAAGCATGAAGGAGAGAATTCACTCTCCAAAATGACTAACCTTAACCAATAGGGCATCAAACCTAAAGAAAATTTTCACCATTAATATTTCAGAAAGTCCCACCAATACCACTCACAACTGGGTTACAATCAGAGCTAATAGACAACTTATTAAAACACAGCACCTGGTATATGCACGATATTGTAGTTCACTTGGATCAAGAAGTGAAATTTAGGGAGGAAGTCATAAATACCATGGGATTTAGCATGAACTCTATTGCAGGCACCAACTTTTCAAGTGAGAATTCATCAACAGGGATGGGTGGGGGACCTACTCCTCTAGAGTGTACTCGCTCTCCCCAGAAAGGTTGATCTCCAAAGAAGGGTACAACAGTTGTTGGGCACTGAATTTCAGAGAAGTGGATACAGGAAAAGTTAGATAAACAATCAAAAGACTATGAGTCCCCCCCAAAAGCAGAATAACTTACTGCAGCTTTAAGACCAGCAGCAGTTGTTCCAGCACCACCATGGTGCACCTGAAAATATATGCAAAGCAATATATCAACAAAACAAATTACGGTTGACAGTTTGAGCTGAAACCAACAAAAAGTTAACTAAATACTGAAGCAAGGAAATTAATGATATTTGTTCAACCAAATTTTTACAGAGCATCGTCATAACTCAAGATACACAGATTCACAGTTAAAGAGCACTAATAGAAATAACCAACAGCTTCAACAAGGAAAACTTTGCAATTACAAATGTGTTCAGGTTGTAGAACTTGATTGTGATTACTTCTCAACAATGCTTGACTGGGACATCGAAGAGGAAAAAAAAAATCAAGGAAAACAAAAAGGTCAGCTGTTAGGATCCCAAAAACGAGCTTCACCACTTGCCTCACCGTTCCTTTGCTTAAATAATCACTTCCTACATTGTTGCCTTTATTTACTGCCTCCAAAAATTTTATACAGAGATCCCATTTTCGCCATGCATCCTTGCCTTTCAAACTTCAATTCCTTTTGAATAATCCATCTCTCTTTGCTCATTCCCTTCCTACAATTGATGGACTGTCTTTTGGTAAGTAAAAATTGATGAATTTTTTAAGTAGGTAACTAGAACATACTAATTAACATATCCTACTGAGATTTTGAACCGTGACTAATTTAATTCGAGCTATTATCACAAGTGCAGCCACTAGCACCACTACTACTACTATCACAACTAGCACAATAACATCACTGAGACTTCCTTAAAATAAAGGCATAAAGCACAGATGCAGCACATGCTTCTCACCCGTTGGTGCAGATTATACATTCTTGTACATAATTTATTTACTTACCAGCCATAGTTATCTAAAAACATAATATGATGGGTATTAGAATCAGGTATATAAGAAATAGAAAAGAGAAAATAATAAGGGGTCTCGAACTCCCAAGTTTCGCTTGTCTCATTTGAATGCCTCCCAACTACGGAAGACGTATTCATGAACTTTCATAACTTTACATTAAGGACTATTAAGTTTTAACCTTCCATCTTGTAACTCCTTTCTCCACCAAGACATTACTAAATATTCATCTATTAATAAACACTGTTAATATATTTAATTGAGGTAAAAATATCAATTCAAGCTGTTTTCTTAGCATACTTAAATTAACAAATAACTCCCTCATACCGATATGTACGTTAATGTAATCAATCATGAGTTGCATACTGAACCAATATCTGATTTTTCCAACACGTTGACAATTTTGAAAATAGAAATACAATAGAGTGCAAAGATATGAAATAAAAATATATTATACAAATATAAAATAGTCAAAAAAACAAAATTTCTAATGATGTGATTGCATTGTCTAAAGGGTAAGCTGCATTCATCATTCACCAAACACACTCCTCAATTTTTTTTGTACTTTCCAAAGTTGCATCATTTTACATCCACACACACCCACCCACCCCCCAACCCCTTTCCCCCCACCCCATGCCCACCAAAAAAAAAATTGACCCTAGCAATAATAAGTCATCAAATAATTTAATCACCCAACAATAAAAGACATTTAATTACCAGACAAAAAACAACGATATTTAAATAGAATAAAACTCAAAAGGATCTTCATACAAAGATCTATAAGATATTTAAAATAATCAGTTTTGACTTCTTTACCATCATCTCTTTTAACAAATGCGTCCATAGTTTCATTCTTTGCACTGACATTTGATTTTATTTCACAGAATAATAACAATCACCACTATCCTCATTTCATCTAATCAAGAAATAGAAAACAGAAACTATATAACTTGTTCTGAAACTTGTAAAAAATCAAAACAAATTCATGACTTCTAATCAAGTAATGTTACAACAGAATAACACACCCAACAAACACTAAAACAACAAATAAACTTAAAAAGCATTCTAGCAATAACATCCTTACCATCATCATGCAAGTAAAATGATCCCCTGCGGGATCACTAATTCACTTTACTTTTGCTTAGCAACCATTTGTAATCAAACAAAAGAACAAAAGTCTTTTAACACACCCTGCTATAGTTACCTCAAAGTATCATTGAGCCTCTTTAAAGTCTAATTGCAAAAGAAGTTAGCCTTTACAGATTATACGAATGAGAGGGACATGTGGAATAACGCAGCTTTAGATTAGGAGGCTTGTAGAGAAAAAAAGAATAAAGTCTTGGTCTCTTGCAAATGGCCCTCAAGATCCCTTTTCTTTCACAAGGAAAAGGAATAGAGACAAAGCATAATATATTTTCACCGCCCTTATTTTTAAAAGGGCTTTAGGAAGCTAATTTTGGGGGGAAATTTATGAAGGAGATCTTTGTTGTGAAGCTCAAAAGGCTACTGAATCCCCACAAATGAAATCGGAATTGTAAATGGTATGATTCCTGTCCGATCCACAAAGTTTCATTAAAATTTGTACCAAATAAAGGTAGGTCATAATGAATGAAAGCATAGGGAAAAAAATAAATATAATAATAATAATGAATGAATGAAAGCATAGAATTGTGAATTATAACAAGTGAGAGACTTTCCATTAAGCAGACATGACAAATTTTTACTGGTTACATTCAGAATAAAGGACACAATAGCTTGCAGAGGAGCCAAACACCAAATTTTAGAACTGTTGACAAACAGCCGTGAACCAAGAAACAATACGAAACACAACAAAAACAAGTACCACACAAGACACAAAGATTTATGTGGTTCGACACAAGTTGTGCCTACACACGGTAAAGATCCAGTGAAAGATTTCACTAAGCAAAAATAGGAGATTGCAAGTTTCAGTGTTCTCACTCTCTTTCCTACGATTTTCAGTGTTCTCTCATTACCCACTCCAAACCCTAAACACACTTATATACTGGGTACAAGAGAGGTCCACAGCCCACAAGCAAAAATGGGTCTTAAAATTTTTCTCAGATCACTTTTCGGGTCAAAACTGGGTCTCATTCCACACCATCACAAGAACATTTGCAATGCACCAGTGCACCACCGAAAGAGACACACAATATTCCCTTACACAATTTCTCAACATGATATCCAATAGATCCTAGGACATGATAAGGAGTGACGGCCCCTAAAATATAAACACAATCGTTCAGTACAGAGTTACAGTATTTCCAAAGTTGATGGAGATCCTCAAATCACCCATTGCGATACATACCTAACCTCCAATTATATTCACCCAAATAGCCCCCCTCCACAAAAAAATAAAATAAAACCAGATAATAAAAATAAAATAACTTGAACAAGCTTTCTCATGCTTAGCATCCCGAGTCTTAACCATTGCACCATGAAATGGGCCCTAACACAACCAAGTTTATAATGTAGAATGAATTTTTATGTGAATAACAATCCCACAATTTCCTTCCAACGGAGCCATGGAACCCGGGAACCAAAACCAACTAACATTTAGCCCCAGAAGCCACAGTGTCTATATTGATCTTCTTGTTGACACAGTTAAAGTATTTAAATGGTTCAAGATCATACTCAGAGATCTGAATTTTGAATTCATCAAGATTTCCATTGCATAAGTGGGACAATAAAACTAGTTGCGTTAAGAAATAAGGAAGCAAAAAGAGGAGCTACTCATGCCTTAGGGTAAGGCCATGCAATCACCATCTCATCTCCAGTGCCTTACAATAATTTAGGTTATGAGAAAATAGCTAGGTTGACAATGTATTTTGTTGCTGGACCACCGCTGACAGGAAGACCTATTGTGAGCACATAATTCCTTGCAGTCATACGTACAACACAGTTCTAATTTCTAATATTTCACGTGGGGTGAAAAACACATGTTGCACCACCACTGAAATATAATTATTATTCATGCTGTGCTAAATACATTATCTTTCTTAACTTAGTAAGTGCTAAATCCATGACCATGGTGAATTCTCTTTGTGATTAACAAAATTAGACATTCACACAAAACAAGGAAAACATTAGTGATGCACCACTTCAACTTATCTTAAATCAGCAAACAAAGTAGTGAAGACCTACCACAGCAGCACATTGTAAGAACAGCCAGTCATGAGGGCAATTGTCCAGTTGGTACACGAAGTCCTTTGGTTCTGCCACTGAAAAAGAAAAAGAAAGAAGAAATTAAGTATGTACTATAAAGTATACAGTCCTGTAACTTGAACAGCTGAGTAGCTGCAATTTTCTAAAAAGAAGATATTTAGCATTCAGATAAACCACGAATAAATCAAAATAAGGACAACAGACTTACGGTTCCCAAGGCCACCCCAACCTTTGTTAATGATTCCTCTTTGTCCAGTCATTTCCAGAGCTTGAACAATAATCTGGGTCATTTTCTCTGGTTCTTCAACAGGCTGTAGTAAAATCAAAATTAGATAAACAATGAAAGTAGATAGAGAAATTTACAGTCAAAGTCAGTAAGCTGGGAGATTATTCCTTTTAGAGTATATGAGTGTGTATCATATGTTTATGAGAAGAATGAAAGTTCAATACAAAGGCGATGGTGAGCATGCCTGAAGAAACGGAAAGGATAAAAGATCTAGCAACCATTGTCAAAATAAAGGAAATTTTAAGGCAAAAGCTGAAAAGCAAGACTATCCGAAGGCCCTCATACAGCCTGATCAAGGTCAAAAATGTAATTATCAAACAATGTCACGGCACAAGTGGGCCCTGATACAAAGTGTAACTTTGGCTTACATGTTAAATTTAACTAAGTGTAACTATCTCATAAAATCATGACAAAACAGGGATAACTGAAATTGCACTAGGTTCAATGAAAATGGTAAATGTACTTCACAAGTTCAATATACAAAATCTTGACACCAACGTAGAAGCAGTGATAATTATTAGTAACTACTAAAGCATTGATAATTATTAATAACAACTGCCACATTAAAGCTAAATAACTACTAAAGCATCATTTTCACTGTCTCAATAATAAGTTTTTGCCATTTATAATTGATAGGGAAAAATAAACTTAACCTATCTTGACCTAAAAAATAGAGGCAACTAAGTGTTGACCAGATGCCAAATCTCTTCTACTTTCGAAAGATAATATTTCGTTATCAAGGATAACGATTTCCATTGGATAAATTCCATGGGATAATGACAAATCTTATCAAGGATAAGATTTGCATGGGATAAGTTCCATGGGATAAGGATTATGATATTCCCTCGTCAAGAATAAGGGAAGTGACGATAAATAGGAAGACGACTCGGGAATAAGGTACGACGAAAAAACTATTATTAAATCTCTGCCTTCTTTTTAGACCTCCAGTGACTAACTTAATCGTCGAAGAGCTCTTGGCAGGCACTACACCGGTGCTGTCAAGGTTCATCGATCTTCTCTTCTCTTCCTTGCAGGAAAACGGTGTCGTATCGGACCGCGTGAATTTCACCCTCAACAGTTGGCACCGTCTGTGGGAACGACGATTCCCTTGAATCAATTAATTACTTAGTTGGGTATATACGTTTGCGGTCCGGTATGGTTACCGAAAGAGCACCGTCGCAAGGATCTGGTCAAAGGGTAGAGTCGGGTGAAAACCTAGACGTCCCAAACGACCAGACACGGCTTGCAGCGTTGGAACTGCAGGTCCAAACTCTGAGTCAGGGTATGGACCAGTTGATCCAGCAAAATGCAGCGCTCCTGCAACATCTTGTTCCACCGGTTCAACAAAACTTGCCACGACAAGATCTCTCAAATCCAAACGGAGGTAATGGGAATCTTGAAGAGCAGGATAATCATCCTCCCAAAAATGAGACCGAAGTGGAACAAAACCAGGTGAGAAACCGACATAGAGAGGTGGTCCACCCATCTCTCCCACGGAGTTCCCGACCTCATGAAGGCACAGCTTTCTGTTTTAAGGAAAAGATAAAGAAAGTTACCTATTTTGACCTACAAATTGAGGATCTCAAGGGGAAAATGGAAGATGTAATTCGGGCTATGAAAGGGAAAGGTCCTGCCGCCATAGACAACCTGGTACAAAGGACCAATTTGCCGTTCAGCCCCGCCGTTATGAAATGTCCATTGCCTAGCAAGTTCAGGATGCCCTCGTTCGAAAGCTTCGATGGGACCAAAGATCCCCTCGATCACCTGGAAACCTTTCAAGCTCTTATGCATTTGCACGCCGTGCCAGATACAATCATGTGCCGAGCTTTTCCCACTACACTTAGGGATCGGCAAAAGTTTGGTTCAACAAGCTAAAGCAAGGAACCATCAACACCTTCGAAGAACTGAGCAAGCAATTTGTGAGCCACTTCATTGCAGGTTAGAGGCATAGGAGGCCGGCCACCTACCTACTTACCGTGAAGCAACAGAAGGGCGAGTCGATCCGGGAATACATCACCCGATTCAGCACAGAGATGTTACAGGCAGAAGAGGTGGACGACAAGGTGGCTTTGACTGCTTTCATAAGAGGACTCCAAACCTCCAAATTCTTGTTCGCCTTATCCAAAGAACCTCCCACCAGCATGGCAGAGTTGTTAATCAGAGCGCAGAAACACATGAACGCTGAAGACGCCATGAATGCACGGAAGGGAAAGGAAGGAGAAGACAAGAAGAGGTCAGCCCCTCTCACCAGGGATGAAAAGGATACCGGTTATAAAAGATCATTAGTGAGGAGGACTCAGATAAGTATACCGACTAACAGTTGTCTCACAGTTGGAATTAACCTTATCAAATCATTCAAAATAAAGACTGGGGGCATCTCAGTTCATCATTTCACATGTTATTTCATTTTATAATAAAGTCACCATCACCAGTGAGATGGATGACCTTCAATTCCTACGCAATAAAATATTATGTTTTCAGTTACCTACTTATGTGGTAATATCAAGCTCAAAATAATCTATTTATCTCCTTAAAGGGACCAAGGGCCAACAACACATTCTTCCCTTATTAAAGGGACAAGAAGCCGACTACTCCTTCTGCACAAAAGGGTGAGATAATTAAAGTTTCCTTCATTTACTAGAGAAATGAGACGACTACCTCCCGTACTAGAAGGGATAATAAATAAGTGTCCTGTATTACAAGGACCCGGGCTGAGTGAATCCCATAATCAATATCCCTGTACTATCAGGGATAGTAAATAAGTGTCCTGTATTACAAGGACCCGGGCTGAATGAATCTCGTAATCCATATCCCCGTACTCTAAGGGATAGTAAATGAGTGTCTTGTATTATAAGGACCCGGGTTGAGTGAATCCCGTAATCAATATCCCTGTACTATAAGGGTCCTGTATTATAAGGACCCGGGTTGAATGAATCCCGTAATCACTATCCCCTTACTATAAGGGGTAGTAAATAAAAATCCCTTACTAAAGGGACGAGCTGAGTAAAGCTCGTAAAATTTAATTCCCTTATTAAAGGAGTGGCAACCTGAGAGAAGCTCGTACAATTTATTCCCTTACCAAGGGAAGATTACCCAAAGGTGCCAAAAATAGTACCCAAGGGAAGAGTATTCAAGGGTACTAAAAATAGTACCCAAGGATACCAAAAATAGTACCCAAGGGAAGGGTACCCAATGATACTAAAAATAGTACCCAGGGGAAGATTATCCAAGGGTACCAAAAATAGTAACCAAGGGAAGGTCACCCAAAGATACTAAAAATAGTACCCAAGGGAAGGGTACCCAAGGATACTAAAAATAGTACCCAAGGGAAGATTACCCAAGGTACCAAAAATAGCACCCAAGGGAAGGTCACCCAAGGATACTACAAATAATACCCAAGGGAAGATTACCCAAGGGTACTAAAATTAGTACTCAAGTGAAGACTACCCGAGGGGAGATTACCCAAGGGAAGAGTGCCCAAGGGAACATTACCCAAGGGAAAAGTACCCAAGGGTAGGAAAAAAAAAAAAAAAAAAAAGTATTACTGTTCATGTGAACAGTACTGCGGGAATAGTACTCGCAGGGGTACTGTTCCCAGGGCAAGGAAGGGAAAAAAAAAAAAAAAGGAAGTATTGTTCCTAGGGCCAAAAAAAAATATATATATATATATATATATATATATATAGTATTTACTGTTCATGTGAATAGTATTGCAGGGAATAGTACCCGCGGGTACTGTTTCCAGGGCAAGGGAAAAAAAAAAATTTAGTATTTACTGTTCATGTGAACTGTACCGCGGGAATAGTATCCGTGGGTACTGTTCCCAGGGCAAGAAAAAGAAAAATAAAAAATAAAAAAAAAAATTAATTACATTCCCGAAGCTAGATGAGCAAGCTTGGGAATGGGGAGCAATTGATAGGGAAAAATAAACCTAACCTATCGTGACCTAACAATAGAGCCAACTAAGCGTTGACCAGATGCCAAATCTCTTCTACTTTCGAAAGATAATATTTCATTATCAAGGATAACGATTTCCATTGGATAAATTCCATGGGATAATGACAAATCTTACCAAGGATAAGATTTGCATGGGATAAGTTCCATGGGATAAGGATTATGATATTCCCTCATCAAGAATAAGGGAAGTGACGATAAATAGGAAGACGACTCAGGAATAAGGTACAACGAAAAAACTATTATTAAATCCCTGCCTTCTTTTTAGACCTCCGGTGACTAACTTGATCGTCGGAGAGCTCTTGGCAGGCACCACACCGGTGCTGTCAAGGTTCATCGATCTTCTCTTCTCTTCCTTGCAGGAAAACGGTGTCGTATCGGACCACGTGAATTTCACCCTCAACAATAATTATGGAAAAATAAAATTATATGCCCTCCATCCCAATCTGTTCCATTCATCTTGCCTTCTGGATGTCCCAATAGATGTCAACTTTAAGAAGTCAATGCACAGAGTGATGCATTTCTTTTTTTCTTGAATCCTCTTCAAGTTGAATATGAACGCATCGACTAGTGTTTAAGGAGGGTTAATTTTGGAAATTTACACATTCCAATTTGAGTGTGATTGCATTACATGTTGTCGATACATATCAACTGATGTCTCAGTATCAGCTGATAAATAAGGCCATGCTTGAAACTGTGTGCATTGTAATCGCTAGTCAGGAGAATCTATAAATGCTAAGCAGTACCTTTAAGAGTATATATGGAAGAGAGAGATAGAGTCCATGTGAGCCCCGCAAATCAACAGATTGGTTATTCCATTGGTATCACATGGTACGTAACTACATTTAGTTAGATTTTGTTAAACCAACATAACCTATATCATCATCATCCTTGCCTTTATCCCATAGAGATGGGGCTGGCTACATGAATTCTCTTTTTCCATTCCTTCCTATTATACACCATGTTCTTTCTTAATTTTAGATTTTTCAAGTCGTTTTTAATTACATTATCCCACATGAGTTTTGGTCAGCCTCTTTGTCGCTTACCTTGTACACAAACAACTCTTCCTCT